TAAACGTCATTCCTAAGATAATTTATTATTATTATTATTATTATTATTATTATTAATTTCGTTCACCTTTGTTGGATCGGGGGACGAGAAGGAAATATTGAACTATATTTTTTTTTTCTTTTTTTAATATATATATTGTTTTTTTTTTTTAAATCTATACTAAATTTTACTAAATTTACAGTCTAAATCTGCTGAAAGAGAGATATTGGGAAACTATTCTCTCGCTCCGATTGTGTTGATCCGATCTGGTAATCAGTTCTGTTTAAACAACAAATCCAAAGACACTCGTTTAAAGAAACTTCTAAAGGAATGTATTCTTAATTGTGTGGATGTATAGGGTCTTTGCAACAATTAAAACGAACATCTAAACTAAGAAGTTACCGTTGGATGACGAAAGATAATAATCTGTATTTTTTCTTTTTAATCCATATTTTTGTTGCTGCAGAAGGCACGGGGAGGACTTTAGTGAGCAATCCAGCTACGTTGCTTATTTATCCACTATGACTTAACTACAGACTAACTGAAGTTCCTGTAGAAATTGTAGAATAAAAGGGGAAGTAATAGGATGCATGAATTGTTTTAGTGTCTATGAGCATTTATTTTTATTTTTATTTTTTTATGTCTTTCCCATATGACTGTGTCAATTCTGAAGACTCTTTTCTGGGAAGACTTGTAGATTTTTTTTCCTGTTGTCCCTAACACTGATATGAGGAAAATGTTTCGATTTTTTTTAATGCTATTTATTATTTTTTTATATTATTATTTTTTTTTTTTTATGTAACCGTTGGTCCAGGCACATCGTATTGTTTCAGACAGGTGTTGTTCTTCGCAGGGTTTCGAAGGAGAATTCGCGAGAATATTCTCTGTCTGCTGCTGTGGACACCGTGTTGCATGTAGTGTCTCTAGAAAATGGAGGAAAGCTGTAATAAGCCAAGTCTCTCATCGATTCTGAATGGGGGAGTCCAACGTTTGTATTCCGACGCCCTCTGCTTGTAGATGGCTTGGGTGACATGTCGTGGTTGCTTTCCCTGGGTCTATAATTGTTCTGTTTATCCCAATGACGTTGACAATGAGTATGATCCGAGACTGGTGTGAAGTCGCTAAATTTTTGACGTTCCATTTGTTTCTTATTATCTTCTTTGTACCAATGTATATAGAGAAAGATTGCAAAAGTTCCGGCGAGTTCGCACATCATCAAAGCTGCAACTGCCAATTGAAAGGAATAACCGTAATGATATATAAACAATGGACCTTGGAAAGAAGATTTAGGTCTCAGTTTGTTTCCTACTTCGGATTTGAAAGTTGAGATGTAGATTACCATACCTGCCAAGATGAACAAGCCTGTAGAAAATAAATAAACTTTTAAATTTTGGGAATTTAATCTAAGTTTATTCAAATGAATCAGAGATTCCCAACGGGAGGATGCGGCCTTCTGTGAACATTTTAGAATCGTGTAGATGTTGCAGGATGTAAACAGAAAGCGGCGTATCAAAGAATTAATGGGGATTAATAGTAAAATCTAAATGTTTAGAAGATTCGAAACTTAATAATAATAATATTATTATTATTAATAAAACGTAAAGTCGTTAATTATTATATTACAGGTGTATCAGAAGCATTAGGTTGGGAACCACTGATTAAAGTAAATTAATATATTTTTAATGATATTTAATTAAACATTGTTTATTATAGAGCAATGTTTGTTATATAATATATATATATATATACACGTAATACGTATATCAGAAACACAGAAAATGATAATTAGCATATAAATAATTCGTTCAATTTCGAAGTTTGTATAATAGGACTGCTAATGTTTATGCTTATTTAAATTTATAATTAGTTCTTAAACACAGCATGTTTATAATAGTTGTATTGTGTAAACAATATATTATTATTACTATAAACATATAGATTTTAATTAATACACTTATATTAATATATATATATAGATTATAATAATATAATTTAAAGTAACAAGTTACTTATACTAATATATTTCTTAGTCTTAATCTTTTTAATAAATAATATCATTTCTATTAATTTAAGTTAATAATAATTAAAAGTTTATATTAAATTAAAAAAAAATTATTATAAATTATTTTTATTCGTTGTTAACTTCCTGACTCATTATGCAAATTCTAATCGTTTTATTTATATTTATGTTATTAAGCTTGGATTATTTAACTCGTCTAAATCCGGATATAAATGGCAATATTATGGGATTTTATTCGTAAAAAAAACTATATAATAATTTACTTACTAGCGATATCTAATTTACTATTCCCACACGTATCAAGTTATCTTATTAAAAACTTTAAATATTCATGTCGTATGTTAAAAAAAAAGAAGAAAATATGTGTATATAAATGTGTGTGTGAGATTTGAAAAATCGTAGATTAAAAATTTGAAATTCTTCTTTACATTTTTCAAAGTCTGATTAACTGAAATTTTAGAGATCATTTCTTTATAGATTAGACTCAAGATTATCAAATATGATTGATTACAGTGCAGTGATCTTTCAAGTCAGTATTAAAATAACAAAAATAAACGAAAGAAGTATGGTCCTTCACACGAATGATTGTTGATAAAGCCACCTAAGATTGATAATACTAAATCTCAGATACTAACTGTCTTCGACGATTTTATATCTAAAGACACCATTAAAAAAAATCTTTAAATTCGAGTAGAAAAAAATAATAATTTAATTCATACGATACGTAATTAAACCTGCAGTTTTTTTTTCTTTTTCGTGCAATAAAAATTGACAGCATATTTTTTTTTGTTTTTTTAATGTAGAATTATAAATAATTCTGAGTTTTATGAACAACAAATTAAGTATAAATCTACACGAAAATAATTTTCTTTTACTCAATATTGCACGGTCGAGTCTAATTTATAACATGTCTCGGCTCTGTAATATATAAACTCATAGAAGAAACTTGTATTAAAAAAAAAAAACGATCGAGTCTAATCCTAAATCGATAAAAAATATTCTAAGAAATATTTTTAAAAAATTAATCTAATAATAATCGATTATTAATTATATTTAAATTCAAACTTAGATAAAAATTAGAGTAAAGGGAGTAAAGGAGGAAAAAAATTATCATTCACACAATACATAAATTCAAACTCCTTTTATTTTTAAATCATTTTATTTTATTTTTTTTTTTTGGCATCATCTCTCATCTTTTGTCAACTTTAATTTTTATCTAACCTTAACTCTCTAAAGAAATATATATATATATATATATTTTTTTCCCCCTACTAAATTATCGAGCACTTAGGGAATCAATCTCTTTAAATCGATAACCATCTTATTTTCTTAAAACAATAATAATAATAATAAATATAAGAAAATGTAGTTAAATATAAATATTTTTTTTAATATATTAAACTAAAAAAACTTAAAGAAAATTAATAAACGACTTATATAGATTACCGATTCTACGGTGTGTAACCACGAATGAAAAAAGATACAATAGAAACGATAGTTCAAACTCGACCGAGCAATTAAAGGAGACAAGATCCTATCTCGTCTAAGAAAGGGCCTAAATTTTCTTTTATTCTTAGCCATTTTTTTTTAAGAATTTACTGTTAAATTTTCAAACAAAATACTTCTACAGACAATATTTTATTGATCCGCTACAGATATTCACTTGGAAAAAAAATATATATTTATATATATTCATGGATAAAATTTAAAAAATACTGTCACATAGTTGTCCTTACTTTTCGTATGTTTGCTTCCCAGATATGTAAAGATACAAGATATTTTATAATATTCAGATTTTATTTTTAAAATATTTAAAAGTTTCTACTTTTTATTTTATTCGAATTTTATAATTTTTATATTACTTACAATTTATTTTCGTTAATTTCTTAAAATATATCATAATCATTCACTTAGATTTCTTAGGAAGAGTTTTTATCATTATAATTCGCTGTATCTTAAAAAAAAAAAAATAAGTGGTAGAGCCGTTTACCGAACAGAATAAAACTGAAATTTTAAGAATAGATTTTTATTCGGCAAGATAAGAAATAAATTCAAAACTATTCTCACTTCTTTCTATAAAAGTTTCGATGCACCGACTTTCGCTATTAGTTGTTTAAATGACCAAAATCAAAATCAATAGTTTTGATTATCGCAATTGATAGGCAATTCGAGATACGTCTAGTTACGACCAAAAAAAATCAATAATACAGTATATGATATAAGTTATTTCCAGTTTGGATCGAAAGGATTTTACTAAACTAGAATGGAATATTTTTATGTTTAGCCACAATGAAGATATATAATTTTTCCCTCTCTCCCTATTTTTTTTTTTTTTTATAAGGCATTAAAAGCAATATTACTTTTTAACTTCTACTCTAAATATAGAGGCTAAATAGCCTTTCTACCATTTCCAATCCCTTCTAAAACCTTATTAGGATAATTCTAGTATTAACTCAAGTTTAATTAAGGCAAATTAATTTGAAAATGTTGACTCTAATTAGTATTTATTCTAAAGAACAAACACGGAAATTTTAATGTTTATTCTATGTATTTTCTCTCTCTCTCTCTCTCTCTCTTTAATAACTCAAGATAATTTTAATTTAGTTATTATATATTTAAATTTTTTTTAAATATAAACGAGAAATTAATTTATAATCTAAACAGATCAACAGGCGATGTTATTTAAGTGTACTCGCTTTAAATTATATTATAACTATGCACAGATTTATACAAATTTCTTGTAGATTAAAAAAATATATATATATACTAAATGATGTAGATTAAAATTGTAAAATTAGAAATGATTAAAGTTTGACCAGTAGTGAGAATTGCGATTCCCGAAAGAGTAAAATACCTGTGATAAATTTCAATATGTCTAATGAAGATTCTCTCTCTCTCTCTCTCTCTCTCTCTCTCTCTCTTGTTTTTTTTTTCTTTTGAAATTTTGTAATATTAAAATGATCAGATTTAAGACATTCTCTTAATTAACCTTTTCTGGCCTCTTTCATTACGGTCGTCACTCTCTTTTGCTTCTACATGTTTTGTGTTGTTGCTGGAAGCGAATTGTAATGAGGTGTCACTGCTATCCTCTTATGTTTTAATCCTTACATCTTATGGAGAATCTTAACACACCAAATCTATTTCTCTTTTTATAATATTACTATAAAGTTTCTGTTTTCTCTACTTATTACATTCGACTTAATTATTAATTCATAAATTATTTTTTTACTATTTTTTTAAACCTTCCAAATAAACATCTTTTTAATTATTCTGCTCCTAACTTTATACACAATAACATTCGTTGGCTTCTTATAAAAGTCGAAAAATATTAAATTTTTTAAAAGAATTATTTAATTTTAATTAATTT